CGTGTGCGTGTGTGCGGTAAAGCAGCCCACCTCAAACAGGAGTATCTGCTGAATCATCTCCTGTAGGTCTGCCACACACACACTGAGCCAGGACAAACAGCTCGCTGGGCGTTCGCTGCTGACTAATCACCGCTGGAGGATTTACAGGTGTTGGAAAAACACACACACACTTCCTGGATGTGTGGGAACTCCTTCTATGGTCATCGTTAACGTGGAGAATGAATCTGAATGATGACGTCATCCTTTCATCTGCCTGTCAATGACTGTTTGTCTGGATGTGTGAGTAAAGAAAATCTTTTATTCCTGTTGGTTAATAATTATTTGTCACTAAGAATAAAATCCCCTGCTTTGGTTTTTACTGAGGTCTTCCTGCTATTTCTGGGTTTTCATTTGAAAATCTTTGGATGCAGTTTTTACACTTCTGGCATCGTCTCACTCATTATGTCCTTGGAACTTTTAGTAATTTTTATAATTATATGTTTTCTTCTGGAGTGAGGCCTTTCTTTTTGTTTAAAAAAAGTCTTAATTTACCCAGAACCCACAGTAAATAAACCCTGCTTGATTTAGTCTTTAGTCTTAGAGAGATAACTGTAGATATTAGATATACAGAGACTGGATCTGAGCCAGAGTCTAACTGGTCTTGAATGAAACCGGACTTTCGCCCAGGAGGCCGGCGTACATTTCCCGTGTAAAGCAAGAAGTCGACATTGATTCTTCTTCACTTATGTAATGCAGCTAACATGTGTACTTATTTAAGAAGTCTGAAGCTCTGTTCTCTGCTGTCTGGGTTGCGCTGCCTTCGGGCCGGGCTGAGTAGAATTAAGTTTTCTCCGCTGTTTTGACTGCTTTTACCGAGATTGTAGCTCAAACAATCTGGATTCACGGTGCCGATCGTGAGTAAGAGGAACTAAATATCTTAAGAGGTTCGACCGGTGGGAGAGATGGGAAATCACAAAAGCAAAACAATGGAAGGTTCATTTTGGGTGAACAAATAGTTTTAACCTGTTTTCATTTAAATGTCTTTGTTTTTTTTACCTGTGTGGTTTTTATGTTTTATGCAAAGCTCGTCCACGTGTGACGAGTGAGAAACTGTTGTCAGAGACCTGTGATGATTTCAGTTATTTCACTTTTGTCCGTTCATCCAGTCACTGGTATGTTCAATAGTAGCAGAGATTGTGACAGAGCGACGTAACCTGTCAACTGCATAATCATGATATTTGATTTAAATAGTTTGCATAATTTGGGCCAGAGGCCTTAGGGAGCTCCTGTTTCCCAGTTTCAGAAAACCAGATGATAGAAGCCCTCAGTGAGTCCAGACAGGAAGTGATGTCAGCACTTGTGTGTAGCCGTGAGTGTTGACTGATGTGTGTCGAGTCATCAGAGCGCGGATCAGATGTGTGCGTGCGTGGTGTTGTTGTGGGAAATGTGTGTTTGATCTGCCCTGAGTCATTAAAGAAAGTGACTGCAGCCGGCACCTTGTTGTGGTCACGGGCTGATGTCAGCCCAGGTGTTGGCGACCTCACGACCTCACGCGTACGTTTCTCCACATCTGTGTTAAACCGTTCAATCTGCGGACAGAGCGCTTCAAAGGCGTCTGGCTGGCAGGGCTGCTGTCACTGAGGTTATTCATCAAACACACTGACAGAAAGTAAAATGAGGCCAAGTGAAGACAAATCAGGAGAGTTTTACTTTTCCTCAGAGGGAAAAGTCAGATCATTTACAACGTGTATACCAGACAACTTTGGAGCTGCTGAAAGATGGATCTTTTATCCTGTGATGGAGCTAGGCTAGCAGTTTCCACCTGCTGGATGCTAAGCTAGGCTAAACACATCCTGGACCTACTGTGTTGGGGATGTAAATAAATATAAAGACATGACTGATTTTATCTAATGTGCTGTGCTATTAGAGTGCAGGGGATTTTAATTTCTTATTTGATGCTTGGCCAAATGTTCATAACACAACATCACGGAAGACTAACAACCGAGTATTATTCAGGTAACCTGGCCCAGGGCCCCGAGGCAGGTGCTGTCTGTGGTGCTCATTATCTATGCGTACACAACCGCAGTAAAAACAATAAGGTTTCTGCAGCTAAATCCAGGCAAGCAAAGCAAAGCAAACAATATAACCACATCAAAACTCGCACACACAGCTGTTCAGTTAATGTTCAGAGAGAGAAGGAGAGACATTTCACCCTGTTGGAAGAGGAAGGCCGTTCTCCTGTCTGTCATGGTGGCAAAGTGGTCAATAACCAAGTTAGAGAATTTCCCTCTGGTTCCTCCGCAACAATAGAGTCAGTCGAAGTCTGGCGCTAGCAGCTAGCCACTCTGTACCGATAAAGTTTTCCCCTTTAGATAGAAACCCCTTTTTCCTCTCCAGGCCAGCTCCAGCTTTGGCCTCCCGTCACATTTAATCTTAAGTTGCTGCTGTAGTGGTAGTTTAGTAAAACTATTTATTATAACTAAAAACTCCAAAACTGCACCACTGCGTAGTGCACGTCTGTCAGAAACAGTGGGGCTCCTTCTTTACAGCGGTGGAGGTTCATCAAGACCCTAAATAAGTTTAGAGGTGTTCATGATAAATTCATAATCGCCACCAGAGTTCGACCGTCAGCTAAAATGACCTGAAGTAAACGAGCAAACACACCCGAGACAGTTTGGACCCTGACACAGGAAACAGGAAGGCAAAGAAGGCTTTTCAGATTTCTAGTTCTTTATCGTACAGACTTTGACCCAACTCTTTCTTTAAACGTCAGAAAAGGATGAGGTGTTTGAATCCGTAGTAACAATAAGAGTATTTGCCCCGATATGGCCCCGACCAACACACACACTCACATGAACCCATACTGAGGCCTCAGTAACAGTGTGATCCACAGTGTAGCAGCTGTGAGTGTGACCTGATCATCAAAGAACAGGATTGAAGCCCTTGTTGTGGTCAGAGGGAGGACACACACACACACACACACAGAGACAGATGTTTCTGTTCACCTGTCTTTACATGAATCACAGAACCTCACCTGCTCTGCTTTACTCAGCTGGCTTTGCTCTGAGAGAACGAACAAGAGAAAGAACACATGAACAAAAGAAATGTAGGGCGGAAAAGGTTGTGAGAACAACAAGAGGAACACTGTGAAGAGAGAAGTGGCCGGTGGTTTGACAGAAAGCAGGTTAAGGGTTTAGGGGTAGGGTTGACTCAGGCGCCGTCCACACTGCTGCGTTTTCCAATTAAAACGGAGACCTTTTGCTGCGTTTGCAGGCAAAAACGAGAAGTTTGGAAACGCTGCTGACCTGTTTGTGTTTCAAAACTCCGGGTAGCGTTTCAGTGAAGACGGGACTTTAGAAACGATGTCGCACGCTCACGCTCGGCTCTCTGATTGGCTCTAGTCATGTAAAGCAGAAACACATGCTGCTGCTGAGTTTTTGTCCATGGTATTTTCCTGAAAATATTCTGTACCGCGTACATAACACTTCCAGCCTACACTCATACTGTGCATGTCGGCGTTTTACCTTGTATTTACCTTGTATTTACCTTGTATTTACCTTGTGACGACTCCCAGCCTGTTTTCCGCCACCACAGCCCCGTGATACATTCAGTAACAGTCCCAGCTCGTTACTGGTCCATGCAAAACAAAATCTGGTGCGACTCTTCGTCTGCATTACTTTATTCTTTCGCCAGATCTTCTGTAACTACGAACAGACCATCTGCTTCCTGTTTACACCGGCACGCGCACGCCCAGTGCACCTGAAAACAAACATCCAAAACCAGCTAAAACGCTGCTGTGGACGGAGATCGTATTCGTTTTAACTCTCCTTTTGTAAACTAAAACGAGTAGTGTGGAAGGGGCCTCTTCTTTCTGCGATCTCGTTCTGTTTCACAGCTCTAGTGGTCTCCGCTCTGCACTGGGCAGTGAATACATACAAACTATTGCTTGAACACACAGACATTTGATTGAAATCCATCTTCTCGTTCCTCTCAGAAAGACAACACACCTCCAGAAATATGCAATTACTCCATGCTGTTACTCTGTGAAACTTATCCCCTCACTTAATTAAGTACCTTTATATTTATTGTCGTGCTCCATTAAAGTAGACGATCTTTTGCGCACTTAAACGGTGGTGAAGAAAAACACACTGGATGCAAATATTTAATTTAGTTACATAAAGTCATCACAAGAAATGGAAGCCTTGGTGTGAAAGAAAGTCATCAAAATACATCATTACATAAACACTTCTCAAATTACATCTGAGGATGAATAATTCAGCACATGCAGTCATTAAACAGAGTGCTTACAAGAAGAAATCTACAGAGAATTATCTGGAAAAGGAGAAGAGGGAGAGAAAGCCACAAGAGACAATAAGAGGAAGGGTCAAAAGTCTGTATTCGTGTCAGAAGTTCGTTGGCAGCAGAATATGTGCATTTATTTTAGTGTGGTTGCCCTCAGACAGACATGTTTTCCACTCACAGCCTGAAGTGTACGGAGTATAAATAGGATGATAA